GCCTATAAACTATGATATATGGTATAAGAATAACTTTTATAACATTAAGCCTTGTATAATTTTAATGTTGTCCAGCTTCAAAAAGCGTTATATTTATCCAGAATTTTGCATTTTTATTTGATGCGTGTTTAATGACAATAATTTGTAATGAATAATTATTTGACAAATGATAATGGACAACACTCTATCCAATTTGTCTAACTAAAATATCCTATAGAACTCGATAACGGAATGATGTTCAACTTATATTCCAGCTTTCAATAATTAATTAAAATACAAACAATAGGTCTTTTTATAAAGAATACATTAAACTTAAGTGATATGTATAATGTCAAATATATTGGGGATCGATGTATATAAATATTAAAAATGGTAGGGAAATTAGTTTACATTTGTAAACCTATGTAAAACTAAAACGAAACATATCATATGTACTTCTGAACAATATTATCATTACGTTAGTTATACAAATTTAGTTTCAAGTAAATTGATAAAGTTCACTGGTATTTTTCTGTTTGGAATTTTACAAACGTACAATACAATACACAGGGCGAGTTTACCAGGGTTGGTATATCCAATAGCACAAATTTAAATTCGCTAAACATAGGTCTCATTGCAAGACCTAGACCCGGAACCGAAACAGATTTTATTTGGTTTAACATTTGGAACAAACGTGTGAATCTAAGTTTATTTTTCAAAGGAGATCGCGAACCAGCATGGTCGGAATAATAAAGTAAAAAAAAAAATATCTAGTGATGCCTCGTCTTTATTCTTTATTTAATTAATAAACATTTTCAATCTGGCAATCGATCTCCAATGAAAATATAATTATCTATAGCTTTAAAATCAAAGCTAACAATTAACTATCAAATTAATTAATTATCAAAGCTCTACAAAATATTCATAATAAATAACACCATTTGTTGAAGGCTATTATTTCCAGTTTTGGACATTCTTGGAGCAATTTTTAAAATCAAAGCTAACAATTAACTATCAAATTAATTAATTATCAAAGCTCTACAAAATATTCATAATAAATAACACCATTTGTTGAAGGCTATTATTTCCAGTTTTGGACATTCTTGGAGCAATTTTTAAAAACATTGTAAGCACAAACGTAACGCGTATAAAATCCTCCCTTCCTCGCACCTTTTTCCCGTCGTAGATACATGTGTCCGCAATGTTCCGCCCTTGAAATATTTGCAGAGACCTGTCAACCCCTTGTCAGGTAGCAGTAATCTATAGTGTCCGCTTATGCCCTCTTTAATGATGTGTCCCCAATATTCCGTGTCCGCATTTGCCCGGCATTCAACAGAGTCGGTGGGACGTAGACGTAGACGTGAGACGTCGTGAATGTCATGTCTCAGGATGTTCTTTCACGATTGTGTAGTGTTCGCACGACCAGCTGATTTTATTGTTCAAGTATTGAGTGATATTACACGGAGTTCGTGAAAATGCAGCTTGGGTGTGCAAATACCCAAATGGTTACGAACTGTCACTTATACCTTCACTCAGGCAGTTACGTACTTTTGGACATGTTCAAAGCTGAATATGGGTGCGAAGTGAGGGTGAAATGGATTGAATGTCTTGTGTGGCTTCGCTGCCAACTATGACCATAGATTGAAGAATAGACAATCTACTCTTTAATCCGTGCTAAGACTAGATGTTTCTTTAGTCAGGACCATTATTAAAATCTTTGATTTGTTGACTGAAGCTGACTTGGCCAAAGACATGATCAACAGACAGTGAGCGAATAAGTTATAAGGGTGAAACAATAAGTCTCATGTTATTCTTTGCTCATATCCAAGAGAAGCACACATTTATAAATATTGCAATATACAATATACAATTGTATTTGTGTATGTTAGATGAGGTTTCGGTCATGCATTCAAAAGTTTGTGATATTTATTGGAGAAGTTTTGTTATAAAGAAATTTGCATGAATTATTACGTGGCTGAGACATCTGAAAGGCCAAATGGAAATCGTTGATTTGAAAATATATTTACATGTGTACAACTCAATAAATTATTAAACCCTTAACAAAAAATCTAAAAATGTTATCCCCGATATTAAGTCATAGACCGGACACGTGGATGTCCCTAAACACATATTTCGTAAGATTCCACATCGGTGTCTAGTACCTTGTTATTATAGAGGCTTTAGTTTACATATTACCCAATAAACTGCCCATTACAGGACCACTTTATAACATCATCCACGCTTCAATAGAGTTGTTATAACATTCTTGATTCCGGTTTGAGCAATTAGTGTTACGAAAGAAGACATGTTCAACAATACGGATTCATTTAGTGAGATAATGTCTTACTAGACCTGACTATCTAGTGTAAAAGGAATTTGAGTTCTAGTTTAGTCACATTATAATGAAAGTTAAGATATGATAGCTTATTCTTTGTGTTTGGATTTTTAAAAATATATATAAACTGAGCTAGAGGACGTAATTAGACTTTATTGCTGCCCTACATATTGTTAGTTGCAAAAATAAACAATACACAAAAGTTTTGTTTTGTGAAATAGTTTGCTTATGCAATTACGTATGACGAAAAATGTAGTTATCTCACGGGTTGAAAGTTTAATTTTAGTTGCGCTCATTTCCCATCCCGGTAAAGTTAAGTTTTTGCTGTAAACCTTGTGATGAAACATACTATTTGAAGCTATTTAAAGGCAAAATAACTCATTGATGCGATTGTTTTGACATTATCTTTAAGCGACTGTAACATAAAACGACATATTATAACATAAACAATTTAAACTATAGGCCTAGATGAATGCTAAGATAATATAACAAGGTTACGATGCTTGCCTTGTTCAAGGCTTAAACGAATTATGTAAAAAATGGAAGATCTCTCTGAACAATTAAGTCAGGATGGTTAACCCTGTGAAAGGATAATAAATGAAACTCCTAATATGTATACTCAACGATGATTACCGAGTATAGTTTTACCGAGAGAAGGTTATTTCCATTTTAGTACAGGACTCCGAGGACTTCAAAACTAGTTTGTAACTGAGTACAATTTACGTTTACAACCATCTATCTTTGGTAACAGACTTCTCTCTGAGAATCATAAAAGTGATCAGGTCGGTATTAGTTGATTCAAGATTCATAGTAGTAGAACTTTAAATCCCTTAAACTTTTAAAATTGCCATAAATATAAAATATGTTCTCTCGTTTTGAAAGGAGGATAACATAACAACATAGGAAGAGGGGTGAATCTCAACATCTATAAAAAGTCTTTTTGATGATAGGATTTTTAGAACAATTATTTCTAAAATTAGCATGTAAATTCATTCAGAGCACTTGAACATAATCCTAAACTGCTAGGCTATTTAGATGCACAATATTCAAATTATAATTTAAACAAATTGCTACTTAATTGTTACATTATATGCAAATTTTCTATGCACTATTATTGTAGTTTATTTATTTTTAATCTGAGGAAATAAGTGATACGAAAATAACACAATCTTTACGACAAAACAGTAGAATACTTAATAATATCTCTGTTTTCGTTATTTCGGGGGCTAAATTATAATGATAAACAATATATACAAATTCCAATAGTAGGCTAAATTAGTTATCTTAAAATTGTTCAGCATGACGAAACGTTTATCACTCGGATCGAATTTGCCTTTTAACCTTAACTCGTTTTTCAACCTCGGTTTCGTGTTGGTCTTAAACTTTGAGTGTAAAACAGCAAGTTAATGTCATAAAATTCAATAGATATTATGCTGTAATCAATCATGTTATAGTCACTAAACAAGATATTAAGAGTATTGTCAATTGCATTTATCAATTATACAGGTTACCTAAAATATAATATAATCTAAATAATAATCCACAATGATTACAATGCCTCGAGGAACTATGTAACTTAAAGGCCAAGATAATTGGAAAATGTAGCTTGAAAAGAGTGACTCTGGGCCATGGTAATTAAATATACCATTTCCCAATACAAGAGAAAATAATTGCGAGTCTCCAGAATCGTCTGATTTGGCATCGCAAAAGTTTCCACTTGTAACCAGTTCACAATCGCTGGTTGTTGACCAGCATTCGGTTGAATCGTTCATTTCGGTAATGAATACTCGGACCTGGTAACCCTTTCATTATCAGATGTGTAATCAATGATCTGTCTGGTCTGTAGTAGTAGAGAGTGGTTGTTACAGGTTACAGTAGCAACGCCAACACCAGCATGACCGCGCGCCACCTGTCCTACCCACCACTCGAGTCTCCGCGAGGAGATATTCTGAGACGTGAGGAGTATGTATCTTTTTCAATTGGTAAAGGTTTTGTACTAAAAATAAAATCCCCCTAACATTGTCTTTTAGGGGAACACACGTAAACATTGTCTCATGGTCTATTCAATCGTAAATACCTATGAAATAATTACATTTAATTAGTTAGTATCAGTACATTATTTTTCACAAACGAAAATTCTAATACCCACAAATCCTTTAAGCCCATACACAAATTTTACTTTTTTTTTAAGTAGCATTAACACATTTGTGATAAGTTAAGTTCTCTACTATACTACTTATCTAGTTTGATGTTGTCAAAATATTGAATGATTTAAGCTGTTTGTTTTAAATCTATTACTATAAAAAGCTAAAACTGCAATTCATAGTGTTTAATTTGTTTGATTGAGGAAAACAATTAACTATAACCTCACAATTGTCTGGAATTACTTAAAGTAGATTTTTGTTTTAATCAGTCTTATTCAGTTAGTGATTTTCAACCATTACATGATACAAGTCGACCTTGATAAGTCAGTATTATCATTGTATTATACTTTAAGCGACATCTCCTCAATTGTTTCTGTCGTTACGAACAGAAATGGTTTATTTCTGTCGAGAGAGAATTTAACAAAACATGTTTAAATAAGTCAAAGAATCAAATGCCCATGTAAATTTACTCAACAAATATAAGATTTAATTTATTTAGGCTATAAAAAGGATAAATTTAGAACCATAATGTCTGTACATACCTGAGCCGCGGAAGAGTGTAGCTGTATTACAGGTACAAAGTTCCACTGGTAACTCGAAGAACTATTTCACGTGGTGGTTAGTAGGATCAACATATTGTTTCTGGCATCCGGTTCTGCAAAAAATTAAAAAAAGCTTAAATAAGTACAATATAACAGTAAACAAGGAAATCTTAATTTTTATATCTACTACTAAATTATGCTATTTTATGAATTTTTAATAAATCGTTAGTTAACGGCCGAACTCCTGTTTTTATAAAACATCGGCCTTGAAATGGATAACATTCAAATATTATTAAATGACAAATAATATCTGGCTCAGAATAGACCCTGCTTAGAACCGGACAATCAACCACCAAACTTGAAGGTGGGTACTAAAAACACTATCTATTTCAAACTATACCAATAAGAAAAATATTTATCTATAAATAATCTTAAAAAACCCCAGTTGATGAGGTACCAAGCTAAATCAACCCAGAGTTTCCTTTAATTCCATTGCATAACCAAGAGAAGAAATAATACAAGCACGGTGTGTTAAATTCGTCCCTGAAAATGACTTGGCACATAACTAACCACTCCACACATTGCCTTGCCAACAGTTTTACAGTTATTACTTCCAGGTACCGGGAAGATAATGAATATCGAGTAAAGGTTTCCCGTTATTTGGCGATGATATCCTTCAACAATGGTCCAGTCCCACGAGGAAGTGTTCAGATTAGATGTTTGCACGCAATTCTAATCAGTAGGACTTTCCCTAGCAACGAAAGTAACTGAGCCCAATAAGAGAAAGTAACAGGTCTCAAGTTATGGAGGCAGAGCCCCTGCACCGCCGGTTACCGGTGAGTATGTGCCAGTTTTTGTACCGAGGTATTTATAAGGTCGAGAACAGTCGGGTACAAAAACTGGACGAGAAACAAATCAGCTGTCTAATGAGGAAAAACAAACAGTTCCGCGGCAATTAATTAATGGTTGGTGGGTGCAGATCGGCAGAGAAGTTATTGAACCTGTTCAATAATCAAAAGGTCACCGGGTTGATTTTGAGAGTGGTCAATAGATCCTAGAACTTCGAAACTGGTCCAGATGTATTTGATCATTGTGCACTAAGTGAATTGTCTTGGATAAGCTGATCTTGGCCAGTAACAAACCCCACTTTAATTAAATCGTGAAAATAAAGTTGAACGACGAATGGTATAATTACAGGGATCGGATGTAGATATGTGTACAGTTGACGAAAAACATACTTAGGGGAAGGATGAGAGGTTTGTAGAGCAAACGGTAAATGCATTTTGAGTTCATAAGGGGTGTGTTTAGAGAATGACACACATATGCAGAGTACGTAAGGGGTTGTGTTCAGCGAATGACACACATATGCAGAGTACGTAAGGGGGTGTGTTCAGCCAATGACACACATATGCAGAGTACGTAAGGGGGATGTGTTCAGCGAATGACACACATATGCAGAGTACGTAAGGGGGCGTGTTCAGCGAATGCAACACATATGCAGAGTACGTAAGGGGGTGTGTTTAGAGAATGACACATATATGCAGAGTACGTAAGGGGTGTGTTTAGAGAATGACAAATATATGCAGAGTACGTAAGGGGTCGTGTTCAGTGAATGACACACATATGCAGAGTACGTAAGGGGGTGTGTTCAGCCAATGACACACTTATGCAGAGTACAAAAGGGGGTATGTTCAGCGAATGACACACATATGCAGAGTACGTAGGGGGATGTGCTCAGCGAATGACACACATATGCAGAGTACATAAGGGGGTGTGTTCAGCCAATGACACATTTATGCAGAGTACGTAAGGGGGTGTTCAGCGAATGACACACTTATGCAGAGTACATTAGGGGCGTGTTCAGCCAATGACACATTTATGCAGAGTACGTAAGGGGGTGTGTTCAGCGAATGACACACATATGCAGAGTACGTAAGGGGATGTGCTCAGCGAATGACACACATATGCAGAGTACATAAGGGGGTGTGTTCAGCCAATGACACATTTATGCAGAGTACGTAAGGGGGTGTTCAGCGAATGACACACTTATGCAGAGTACATTAGGGGCGTGTTCAGCCAATGACACATTTATGCAGAGTACGTAAGGGGGTGTGTTCAGCGAATGACACACAAATGCAGAGTACGTAATGGGATGTGTTCAGCCAATGACACATTTATGCAGAGTACATAAGGGGGTGTGTTCAGCGAATGACACACATATGCAGAGTATATAAGGGGGTTTGTTCAGCGAATGGCACACTTATGCAGAGTACATAAGGGGGTGTGTTCAGCGAATGACACACATATGCAGGGGACGGATGAGGGGGATGTGTGTTATGAAAGTGTTGAGCAACTGTTCCGCGAGAGCGCAGCACGGTCGTAGCGGAACATTACGTCACAGCCCAGTCAACCAACAGAAACTGAGAGAAACCGTCGAAACCCTACTCCACCTCCACCTCAGCAGTTATCGCACCTCCCGCGCCCGCAACCGAGCCGATAACAATATTGAAATATGCACTTGTCATAAACCAAATCTGTTAGGCAACGTTACGGCGTTACGGATAAGCACCGCCACCTAGCGGTTTTGTTTTATTGAAGCGAGAAATGTAGCAATCGGTCCTGACGTATTGTGGCGTTGCCTATTGTTTCACTGCTTATACAATGTTATGCATATTTTTATTGTAGAAGAACTCAAACTTAATTGTTGAGAAGAAATCATAGGAATATTCAAACACGTCATGAATTGTCAAAAGGGTTCCGTCCCAACGGTTTCAACGTTCATCAAAATACCCGTACACTCATCGAGAGGCTATTATAGATTTCCTGTTTTTGTTTAAAAGCTAAAAACCGAATTCTGAACATGGAGATATAGCTAGAGATTACAAAACTATGTTAAGACGTTCTTAAAGTTATTTGGGATTGACTGCATAAATCCTTTAAGCTTATATTTAGGTGTTGACGTCTAGATTCAGGTCAAGTTTGAGACATGTTTGAGGTAAACATCTACTGTAATCAATTTCACGACTAAGTGCGAGAGAGAAAGAGAGTGTGTATTTGTGTCATTGTCTCTCTCTCTACATAGATGACTGGTAGCATACTTGACAAACAAGTGTTGTATCATTGGTAAAGTATTATCTACTCAACACGCTTTACTGAACTGGTGATATTTCAACAAACCTTATAGAAAACGTGCAAGCGTGGGAGTCGTCCAGTACTTGAATGGAGCTTTGGATAGTCCATCAACATATTCGAAGGGGAAAAAGCATCAAATACAGATAGAAATAAAGATTGGAATGTTACTTTAAATGAGGAATTTTTAAATAAAGAATCAAAAGTCCGCGTGTATCTTTTTATTTTTCTCAGCGAAGTTAAGTCATAAATCGTTTATTCAGCAAAATTAACATAAAATGCATTAGCTACGTCAACAAAACAAAATATTTACATAACAAAAAACGCTCTTGTATAAATTAAAACTGTCAACTATGCTACTATATTTACCCTACCAGTTCTAGGGCAAAGAAATTCACAAACGCTGCAGAAGGCATTATCCAGCAAAAAATTCTTTAGTTTTTTCTGAAATCTATTTGAATCCTGTTCGGTCTTTAGGGAAGGAGGAAGGTTATTGAAAAGCTTGACGGCATTGTATTGAAAATTCTTTTGGAAGAATGAAGTTGAATGTTTAGGAATTGCAAGTTCAGAAGAATTACGAGGTGGATATCTATTGTTGAGCTGTGAACAAAAAGAAGATATATTTTTTCTGGTGAAGGATAGTGTTTAAAAAATGTATATGGATGGAAAGGTTAGAATTCGGATTTTTTTGAAAATGTCTTTGCAGGATTGACGTTTAGGTAGGGAAAATATAATGCAGATGGCTTTCAATTGTTGTCGGAAAAGAAACTTAGTCTTTTCACTTTCACTACCCCAGACAGGGACAGCATAGGATAAATATGGATATACAAGACCATAATAAGCAGACAGGAGGACTTCTGAATTTACTGTTTGGCTAAGCATACGAAGCATGGAAATACCAACTGATATTTTTGTTGTAACATGTTTGATATGTTTGTGGTAGTTTAGATTTTCATCAAGGACCGCACCAAGGAACTTAACCTCTTGACAGGGATGGATCTCATTTTCACCTAACAGTAAGCTAAATTTTCCTTGTTTTTTGTTTGTTTGATGATTTGTTGGTTTTTTTGCATTTAGGACAAGATGATTATCCTCACACCATTGGAGCAGGCTATTAGATTTTAAAAAATCGATTGTTCAAGTGTTTCTGTGGAATGGCTGGATACAGTAAGAGATGTATCATCGGCAAACAGACAAATGTTTGCCTTGTTTGGGCAAGTTGTTTATAAATAGGAGGAATAAGGTTGGCCCGAGGATGGAACCCTGGGGCACACCTCTCGTTGACACTGTGACAAAAGAAACAGAACTCAATAAGACAAAACATAATTGAGAAATCTACAGAGGGTCATATAACCTACAGGTAAGATGCTGGTTTAATCTGCTCTTATTACAGAGGGTAAACATTGCTATTTCAGGCATCATTCTTTGCATTGTCCAAAACTCCCATGATCCTTCAACCAATCTAATCGCTTTGACCTTTCCTATTTGACTGTCCCAATCACGGTTAATTCCTGCAATGTTGTGAATTGCTTCAGCTCGTCCACCCAAGGTTCTGTATTATGTCTGTGAAATATTTGAGCTATCTCACATTACCTCATTGGCATTATTGTTACCAATCCAACTATCTCTCCAATGATGTGACATTCCAACAGCCAAATGTTCTATCCTATTTCTCTGAGACATTTCGGCTATCCAAGCCAAGCTCGGCCCTGATCGCTGATTGTCCCATTATGTTTACACAACTGTGATCGTACTCTTGGAAACTGTAACTGTCACGTGAAAGGAACTGTCTTTGTGTTAAAGTAATCAGGGTTTGTTTCATAAGGAGGGCGGGTTCGGCCTTGCATAATGGCGAATGTCCGTTGTATCCTGGCGTGTCCTGCCGTTACCGCCGCCGTTGATAACAGATAAGAGATAAGCTCAAGGTCGTACAACAGCCTGATGAGTGTTTGTCTGTTGATCGCGTGAAGATAACACTAGTTAA